AAAACAAAAAACATTAAAATACGTAAAGACATCAAAGTTTTAAGAATTGAGATAAACATTTGTGGGGGTTCTGTATTTATCCCACAGGATGTAAATATTGTCTTGATATCAATTCTCAGAAAAAATATTCTGCCAGTACACTGCCCTATATCCGAAGTCAGCATAACCTATTGAATAATACTAATTTGAAAATACTTTTGTTCTAGAATAGGGACAATTTTTTCTCTCTTGTTTATGGAGATCCATGACTTACTTGTTGAGTACTTTGTATAGACAGTATATTCAAAGAGTTGATCTTTGTCATAAAGTGTGTATTATCACTAGCTGATGATTTCTTCCCTGGTGTGTGCTTCTAGGCAGTGCTGTGTGTAGATGGTGGCCCTGTGGTCTTTCATGGAGATTCCAATGAACTTTTTCTCCTCTTTGTACTACTCTAGGGTTCGGATCCCACTGCATTCTCTGTACTTACGCAAGCTATCACTGGTCAAGTGGGTTTTGTGGACGTTGAGTTTTGTACCACCTGTGGAGAAAAAGGAGCAAGTAAAAGATGTTCAGTTTGCAAAATGGTAAGACTGGAGTTCTTTTAAACTCATTGACATATCGGTAAGATTGCATTCAAGGGCTGGAGAAATGGCACAGTGGTTAAGACCACTGGCTGCTCTTGCAGAGGACCCAGGTTCAGTTCCTAGCACCCACATGGCAGCTAACAACCATCTATACTTCCAATTCCAGAGATCTCATGCCATCTTATGTCCTTCGCAAGCATTGCATGACATGGGTGCACTTACATACATATATGCAGGCAAAACACTCATATACATAAAATAAAAATAAAAAGATTACGTTCAAGCTGACAGCTGAACTCTGATTTCACCTAAGTGTAACAGTTGGTAGTAGTTTTTTATACGTTCTAGTTCATGAAAGTATTCATTGAATCTAAGAAAGTAATTCAGAGAGCTTCAGTTTCTTTGTTTCTACCCTGTAGAAAAAAAGGAGTTGAAATGAAGATGACAAAATGGGAGGAGAGCAAGGGGACATAGGGCTGGTGCAGATAGGAAAGCCTGCATCAGGACCGTTCAACACATCATCTTAACCCTTTCATGTTGACTTTTCAGTCTTTTCATCAGCTCTTCCTTTTGAAGTAGAACTTCTTCTAACTGCCAGCAACTTAAAATCCTTAAGAACTACACTTTCCCCTTTTCCAGAATCATCTTTGTAAAGTATAATCTGTTTATGTTCTTCCCACATACTGATATTCCACATGTGTTTGTGTCTGTACATTCACTTGATCCCATAGATTACAGTAGTCTGTTGATTTCAAGGTTGAAATTCTTTGACTTATTGTTGAGTGCCTCACAGTGGCCATCACCTGCCTCTCCTGCTTTGCCTACTTTAAGCACTTACCTCAGCACGTTCCCTCATGTGCAGCTCAGGGTGTGAAAATTAGCTGTGTTGGTTAACTCTTGCTATGTATGAAAGCCCTGTAAAACCAGTGCCTAAATCCAGCCTCACATTTACACTTTCTGCCTGTGGCTGCATTCAGTTGGGCAGCGTGTTCCCCTAGGGTCATGGTAGAGGAAAAGTGGGGAGCTAGAAACACAAAAGGACTCTTCTGAGTTTTTCAGGTTTGTTTCTTTTCTCTTGAGATGGAGTCTCACTACAGCCCAGGCTGACCTTGAACTCTTGACCCTCTTGCCTCCACCTCCTAAATACTTGGATCAAAGACATATATGTCACCATAGCTGCCTGTAGCAGGTTCTTAATATGACATGTGTCAAAAATCTTCTTATAGACCATTTCTTGTATATCATTATTTTTTTAAAGTATAAGCTAAAATTTACAAATCCAAATTAACACACAATTACATAATACACAACCACACATCATATAATAGTTTTTCTTTAAGTGTGGAAAACAAAATATTATTTCTTTTTTGAGAATTTCATACATGAGTACTGTATTTGAAAATGAAAACAAATTGCGATTTCTCTTAGGTAATATATTGTGATCAGACCTGCCAGAAAACACACTGGTTCACACATAAGAAGATCTGTAAGAGTCTGAAGGATGTGTATGAGAAGCAGCGGTCGGAGGCAGCCAAAGAAAAGAGTCGGGAGGAAAACAGTGCGTATGAATCCACTGAGCTTGTGCTACCTCTTCAGAAGGGAAATGAAGGATGGGTGCTATTAACGCCGGGTACATAGGGATGGAATGGCCTTTGGGGACACAGGAAGCTCTGGGATGACCAGCAGATACGTGCCTGCTTTAGCCTTCAGAATACATGTAGAATATAGCTGACTAAGACATTGCTAGAAAACAGACACAAGATTCTGAGGAATGTGGTTTATTCTACATTTTGCACTAACCCAGGAGGCTGCCATGGAGTGATGGGTCTCCATGGGTCACTCATGATTAGGAATGATTAACAGGCTACCAGAAGACTGTACATATCATCATTACATTTCAAAACTATGAATGAAATTGCAGTTTATTCATAAATTACAAACTAAGGTATAGATCTACCAGCTTTGGAGCACTGAGTTCCATGTTATTTTTGCCTCTCCTTTCCTGAGATTAGGTGACTCATTTTCCTCTGAAGCTGTAACTGCTTCCACAGTGATTCTCATACTATAGAGACCCGCCTAGCCCTGGCCTGACTTGCCTTCTTGGGAAATTTTTGTCATTTGAAGGCGTTGTTCCTAGCTACTTCGCCTCCACTCGTGAAGGATGTGTGAACGTTTCATCGGCTGATCAAGAAACACTGTTGGTGTGATTGGCTTAAACAATCATTTTGAGAATGGGCAGACTTTATTACTGACATTCCATAAATAATAACAGGCTGCTACCTACTAAAGGACATCAAGCTGTTTAAAAGGAAAACTGCATTTAAATGTAGATTTTGTCAAACCCAAACAACTATTCTGATGCAGAGGATGCATTCCAGTGAAGGCTTGAATTTAGTGCCAATTCTGTTTTCCTAGCTCTGAAACTTCAGCAAGTAACCAAACCTCTTTTCAGTTTTACCATTGCTAAAAGAGTAATGGTGATTATAATAAAAATAGTACTCTGCCTCGCATAGTTACAATGATTGATAGATGTAAGCATTACCAGAGAATCTGGCACATGGCAGGAACAAAATACTTATTTTTTTTTTTTTTCTTTTTATCAGCTGGAAAATTCGAAGTTAATTCTAACTGTGTTAGTGAAGATCAACCAGAGGCTGAACCTGGTATCTCCCAAGAGGATCTCGCTCCTCGTGATTCTGTGGAAGGGGAGAAAGAGCCTGAAAGTGAGGCTGTGCTGGTGGGTGCACAGGATGCTCCTGCAGGGCTGCAGCTGTCTGAGGAGTAAAAGCTGTCACAGCGGCCAGCATGGGTGGTCCTCGTCCCAGCAGGGAGCTGAAGAACTTCTGAATTACTTTCATTGCTATGACACCCGCATGGTGCCCAAGCAGGATTGCACATCCCCAGAATAGAGGCTTTCAAGCAAGGCTCTGTCTTCCCATGCCCTGCCCTGGTTTCCTGTTTTCTGTTCTGTGATTGAACAGGTATTCTTACAGAAAATATTTTCTTTCAAAATACAGGAAAAACATGGCCATTCTCTTTCTGAGGCTGGCTATCCAGCAGTTGTTCTCAAAAGAAAATCATTTCCCTTAAAAAAGAAATCTAGTTTCTAGGGAACAAAGAGAAAAGGGGGGCAGATGTGATGTTCAGGGGAAAAAATAGCCACAGATATGGGCAGTCGGAAAAAGCGTAACTCTTCTGTGAATAAGTACAGGCTGTACCGACGAAGGCGTGATGAATGAGGAAAGTTCTATGTTGAGAACCGCTGCCATGGTTCTTCCTAGAGTAGTTTTAATAACACTATCCTGAGCACTTTGAACCTTGTGTTCTTCCTGCAGTGATGCTTGCTCTGTAGTATTTGAACCTTCAGAAGTGTCAGATCATCAGAGAGAGGCAGAGCATCTGTGGCAAAGGCAGTGTGTCCTGAAATGCTGGTTAGTCCCCTACGCACACACTTCCTCTAACACTGTCTCATCGCCATACTCTACTCAAGGCTGACTCTCCACCAGCTTTCCAGGGCCTTCATCCTGTCTAGAAACTGATTTATAACTGTCATAAGAATGTCCCAGACTGTGTTTTTAGCATTTGTGGTATTTAAGCAGACCTTGAGTTTGATGCCTGAAGGTGGTGCCATGTTTCAGTTCTTACGTTGGGTTTAAAATAAATTGTACCTACATAAACAACTCAACTTGTTTCATAATTTATTGTGTCAAGAGGGAGTGAATATTCGAGAGTTTAACAGAGAGTAGGAAATTTAGCAAATATGGGGGAGTAAAGTGAAGATTATCTAATGTGTACAATTGTAGGTCAAAATAACTAGAATATCTACCTGACTTAGCTGAGCAGATTTGTTCATCGTATTGATTCTCACCTTCCTCATACTTTCCTTCCTCAACATATACATTTCTTGCCATATGCCACATTCTTCAATGATGACTTCATGTGAGTAAATTCAACATTAAGAAATTCACTGAGTATTTTTGTCTAAACTTGTCCATTGTAACGAGACCCCCCACAGCAAGATAGTCATTCATCAAAATACCTCATCTGTACAGTGCTAAACACTTCTCTTTAGGCTGTGAGGAGCCTTCCAGGTGTCTCTGTTTTACTTCATTCTCCAAGCTTTAACGATTTTGAATGAAGGTCTGCTGTGTTCTCTTCCTCGTCCTCTTCCTCACTCCACTTTCTGCCACACACTGTGCTGGGCTCTGACAGAGTGATTAGGAACCCCAGAATCCTCAGACTGACATTTGGGTGAGTTTCCTGGTATTCTTTTTTTACCTCATTCATGTGTCCCAGATTTCAAGTTGATGAAGCATGTGACATGTACACACAGCTACATCTTCCCCCAAAATTTCCCAACAAAAGTCTGCTGGTCTACTCACCCACCAGTCTACTAGCCTACCCCTGTGGTTTTCAAACTTAAGATGGCACTATCAACTCATCTGGATTTCTAGCACAGAACTCATCAGCCCCCAACAATGGTATGAGCCAATCCTTATAAATCACTCTCTGTATAGGTATGTCTATAGGCATTGTTGCTCAGGGGAACCCTAACATTATCAGGTGTCTTGACTAGTTTGGACTGCTATTAGAAAGGGTACTAAGCTGGGTGTAGTGGCACATGCCTTTAATCCCAGCACTTGGGAGGCAGAGGCAGGTGAATCTTTGTGAGTTCAAGGCGAGGCCAGCTTGGTCTACATAGTGAGTTCTAGGCCAGCTGGAGCTACTGGGAGACCCTATCTCAAAAATAAAAAAAATTAAAAAAGAAAAAATCCAAAAAACAAAAAAAAAATTTTTTTTTAAACTATTGTACACTTTCTTATAGTTCTGGGGCCTGGGATCTAGAAATCCAAGACTAGTGTGCTTGCTTGATATTGGAAAGAATCCCCTTCATGGGAGTCCCATCTTGCTCTGCTGTGACCTGAAGAAGGGAGGTGAACTAGCTCCCCCAGCTCTGAAAACACTAATCTCATTCATGAAGGCTTTACTCTCATGACCTGATTTCCTCAAAAGGCCCCTTACTCCAAATAACGGCCCCTTACACCAAATACTATGACCTTGGATTTGATTTTAATGTTTAAATTTGACAAGGTGGGGGGGGGCACCAAGTCTAGTCCCTAGGAGGTACTGTTGCACTTGGGCTAAGAATAACTAATAGCTAAAACACTAAGATGGCTTCTTCACATTTGATGATCACTGTATCAATCCTGGAGACTCTGACATCACTACTATTATTTTATACAGTAAGAAACTAAAGCCTGGAGAGGCAAGTATCTTTCCAAGTAAGAACTAATAAATGAAAGAGTTAGACTAGACCTGTCTAATCCCAGAGCCCCAGCTTTTAGTCACAACCCTCTGTATGTCAGGACTTTGTTTCCTAGTCATGTGACCTCCCAGTGGGTCCCGCGGTAAATATACTTTCACTTAAGTTAGTCTGAGTGGGGTCTCCATTGTTTAAAGAGAGCTGGCAATGTTCCATTTCTTGATCAAGTATGTCAGTTACATGACATACATCCTATGATGTAGGAAATGTTTCTTATCACTGATGTTTCCATTTACATTTACAAGCTTCAGGTCATAATAAATGTGTAATATGTTAAGTCACAGAGAAGTTAATATACAAATGAACACCAGGACTTCTGGAAATTCCATGTTATCTCAAAATAATTGTGAGCATTTGAGGAGGCTCTGTGCTCGTCTCCTCACGGTACTTTTCTTCTCGAGTTGGAACTGTGTCCCAGTTCAGAGAGGAAATGGACATCACTGATCTCTTCATAGACCTTACAAACACAGCATCTTCAGGGTCATCAAACACTGTCCTGCAAAGGTAGCAATCATGTCAAAATTTCGTTAGTCTGATCAACATGATTGTGCGTGAGTGCGTGTGTGTGTGTGTGTGTGTGTGTGTGTGTGTGTGTGTGTTGTGCACATGGATGTGGGTGCCCCAGGAAGCCAGAGTTGAATCTCCCAAGAGCTGGAGTTATAGGCAGTTGTGAGCCATCTAACATGTTTTCTGGGAACTGAACTCGGGTCCTCTGGAAGAGCCATATACAGTTTATTTTTTAAATGATATATCTGTATATATTTAGGGGTCTTCTATTATATAGGTCTCATACACTCATGTATTCATGATTGAAAACAGTGTTAAGTGACAAGATTAAAACACTCTTAGGTATCATGCATATTAATATTGTAAGCATACTTTATTGTGAAGTTATTTCTCTATGTAACATTGTTTTGTAAATGTGTGAGAATAGGGTTCAATGCTGTATCCAAGGAAAATATTCATAAATAGAAAAGTAAAGATTTAAAAATTCATTAGTATTCATGAATTGGAAATGTCCTCTATAGAATTAATGAAGTGTTTGCTTCTCAAAATGTAAATTTTAGAAAAATGTGAAATGTTAATCTATATGATAATTGCTTTCACCGAACATATTCAGAGGAAAAGAAAATAAGCAAAGTCCCTCATTTGCAACAGCTAACAGTTCCTAACAAGTTTTAGTATTTTATGCATTTAATCACCTTTTCATTTATTTGAGGTTATAGTGGAATGTAGTTATAGGTGGAATTCATTTGACATAGAAAAACAGCCATTTTCTCTCTATTGGAAAGCTAATCATTTTGAATTCATTAAAATCTATTTTAGAAAATAGGTATAATTTAGAGATGAGACGATTATGAAACAGTCTAAAAATAGGAAAGGTGTAAGAAAACACTTACTTGTCAACATTATTCCCAAATGCAAAATCTAAAAATAAAGTTCCAAATTAGTATTTTTCAAATGTTTGTCAACATTTAAAAATGAGACAATGTTGTAAACAGAATATTGGCTTTCTGTCTTTCAAAAATTCCTTCATACCTAATCCCAATTTGGAATTTTTCTCTTAGACAGAGTGACTTTTACTTTAGGTTTGGGGGACAAAATCTTTAATATAAGATAAATCTCAAAACCCTAACAATATGCTGAATCATACCTAGCTGCCAATGGAATTCAAGTGAGAGTTTTTATAAAATAGGCTCATACACAGAAGGAAATCCTTTTCTTCTGATGAGTACATGCATCCATAAGTGAATAGTTAGGACAAGTATTTAAGGCCATCTCATCCATTTGAATTCTTGACATGAACTTCAAAGAAAGAATAAATAAATCCCAGATCACAAGATTATCTTCCAGAGCTTTAGCACCAAAGGGCTAGAGCTCAAAGCCTGGAGATCTTACACAGTATCTTCCAGACTGCTATGACTTTGTTTATTCCTCTCCAGAAGGCCTGGTGCTAGGCCAGAGACAGAACTTGTCAGCACCTGTTGGGTCACTAAAGCTCTTGCCATTTGGCAAGCAGAGGGCACGGCTGTGGCCTTGGGGGAGCTTGTGGCATGGTGCCCTTCAAAAGCGACTGCCCAAGGCATCCAGGCCTCTCTGGTCTCCCTTGGCTCGTTTTCCCTCTCCCCCAGCGTTACTGACACCATTGAAATAATTACATGCATTTGTGGTGTGAGACTAGATGTTTTGGCATTTATACCCACAGTGAAATAACCGCTGTAAGGGAATTCACAAATCCATGACTTCATAGGACCATCATCTTCCTCGTGTGTGTGTGTGTGGTGATTAGAACATTTTAGTAGATGTTAACCATAGTCACATTACATTAGATCCTCCATTCCCATTTGGAATTTTTCCCCTTTGACCCACATCTCCCCACCTCTCCCCGTCTAGCCCTGGCAGCCACCATTCTAATTCTGCTTGTGTGTGTTTGACCATTTTAGATTTTAGGCAGAAGTGAATTTATGCAGCATTTTTCTTTCTTCATTTAGATTAATTCATTTAATGACAGGGTTTTCCCATTTTCTTCTACATTTTAATTCCTCAAAACACAAATTCCCCTTACAATCAATATAAACCATAAGGAAAACAGTAGGTAAAAGGTGATTTCTTCTTTCCATGAAAAGTATCACTACTAAGCACTGGGAGTGTAGCTCAGTGGCGCAGAGTGCTTAGCATGTATCAAGTCCTGGGTTCAACCAAACTACCGTTTGATTTCTGTACTTCTAGCCTGTGTGTACACATATGTGTGTTCACAGATATCTATATACAGAGATTTGTTTGCTGAAAAAAATTTAAATTTTGATAAGCTGAGTGTGATGGTGCATATCTGTAACCCCAGTGCTAAATTGAAAGCAAGAGGGTCATAAGTTTGAGGACAAGCTAGGATACATAAAGAAATCATGTCTCAAAAAATATATAAAGAAGATCGCCGGGCGTGGTGGCACATGACTTTAATCCCAGCATTCGAGAGGCAGAGGCAGGCGGATCTACAGCCTGGTCTACATAGTGAGTTCCAGGACAGCTGGGGCTACAGGGAGACCCTGTCTCAAAAAGACAAAACAAAAAAAACAAAAACAAGAGGCTAGAGAGATGGCTTTGTGGTTAAGAGCACTGACTGCTCTTGCAGAAGATCTGGGTTCAATTCCCTGCACCGACATGGTGTCTGATAGATAGAGAGCGGGCAAGAGCGAGCAGATGGATGAGGAAGGCACCGAGGCACAGATGGAATTCTCAGCGGGATACAGATTTATTTTGCACGGGGCACCTTTCCCTCGAGGAAGGGAAAGATGTCAGGGAAAGATGTCAGGGAAGGGAAAGGAAGGGAAGGGAAAGCAGGGAAGGGAAGGGAAGGGAAGGGAGGGGAGGGATGTCAGGGAAAGATGTCCGCTCATGGGTTGTGAGCTGGGACTTTATATATGGGGGCTTTAGGGTGTGGAAGGGGGGAATGTTTGGGGGAGAAATC